TCCCTCACTTCTCTGGCCAGTCTTTCAGAGCCAGGCACGGGGACAGAAGGACAAAGCCCACCCCTGCCAGCCACAATGCTTAAGCCCACTGCGCCAGACAGGTTAGGGTGGGTGGGTGGGGCAGCCTGCACACTCCACCTGCCCAGGAGCTAAAAGGGGTTCCTTGCAAGGAGATCTTTGCTGTGAACCGGGGAATTGCTAGTTGAGGTTGGGGGCTGCCTGATGAGTCCATGAGGCCAACTAAAGGGAGGAGGGTGCAGACACCAGACAGCTCCTGGACTGCAGGTGAGTTCAGCCTGTCGTAGGCTGTGCTCCACAGGGTCCTGAATGGCCAAAGCCAGCTCCTTGCCTGTGTGGACTCTAGCTCTTCTCTTCTTACTGTTTTGTCCTGTATACCTGCTTTCCCCACAGCTTGCCTGGGGCTCTGAAGGGTGTGCCCCCCCAATGGGCTCACCTAGCCAGCCTCTCAGGCTCGAGTTCCCACACCCCGGCGCTGATTGTGCCAAGAGCAGAGGGCACTCCTGAGGCAGAGCCTGGGGGGATAGCCAGACTCTCAGGGAACCCAGCGTGAGCCCTGGTGAGCAAGGCCTTAAAGGAAGGGAGGGATTCAAGCGATTGAGGCATGGATACTGGGTTGCCCCAGGCCTGTGCCCACCCTGTAGTAGCTGTCTCGGTGACTCCCTTATCTGCTTCAGGCGATGGTCACTTTGACTTAATGCTGGTACCTCATTCCCTGGGGACAGCTCACCTACCTGATCTGATTTCAGGTCTGCCTTGGTAAGGGTGGAGTCAGTGGGTAGTTGCTAACCAAAAGGTTGGTGGCTTGGAGTGCACACAAAGGTGTCCCAGAAGAAAGACCTGGTGATCTGCACTGGAAACATCAGCCATTAACACTCCATGGAACTCATTTGCCACACTGGTGGCTTGCATGTTGCTGTGATTGTAGACTCCATACCACTTGTATTTTAAATCCAGAAGCCTTGGTAACATACTAGTTGGAGCTGTGTTGGAAGAAGTGCAGCCAGAGTGCTCCTTGGAGGCCAAGATGGCCAAACTTCGTTTCTCATACTTCTGACATATTGTCAGGAGGGTCAGTCACTGGAGAGGGATATCATGTTTTGTTATGGTGGAGGGTCAGAGAAAAAGAGGAAGATCCCCAGCGAGATGGATTGGCAATGTGGCAGCATCAATGGGCTCAAGTGTGGCAACAAGTTTGAGCTTGGCCTAGGACCAGGCAGTGTTTTGTTCTGTTGTGCACAGGGTCGCAATGAGTTGGTATGGACTCGATTGCACCTAACAACAACAACAGCAGTATTTTAAATATCAGTAGGGTCTCCCCTGGTGGCCAGGTCTCAGCTAAGCTTACAGACTAAGATAAACTAGGAGGAAGGTGAGACGGAATTGTTGTTAAGTACCATGCAGTTGGCTCCGACCCATAGCGACCCTGTACAGGGTTTCCAAGGCTGTATATCTTTATGGGAGCAGAACGCCTCATCTTTCTCCCATGGAACCGCTGATAGTTTCGAACTACTGACCTTGAGGTTGGCAGCCTGGTTTGTAACCACTGCGCTACCAGAGTTCCTTTTTTGGTGGCTGATATGCCGTGGAGTCGGTTCTGACTCATAGCAACCCTGTACAGGGTTTCCGAGGCTGTAAATCTTTACGGGAGCAGAAAGCCTCATCTTTCTTCCGTGGAGCAGCTGGTAGTTTTGAACTGCTAACCTTAGGGTTCACAGCCCGATTCGTAACCACTACGCTACTAGAGCTCCTTGGAGGAAGGTGAGGTGAGGCGGAATACTTCTGAATATTTAGTCACTGAAAATCCTATTTTAAAAAAAACAAAACCTCTATGGAGCACAGTTCTACTCTGACACACGGGGTCTCCACAAGTCGGGGTTCATTAACAGCACCTGGTGTCTCTGAGGTGACCTCATCTTCCTCAGAGTCTGGGATGAGGGGTCCACACCATGGCCTTGTGCTTGGGCCTGGCTGAGGACAGCCGAGGACATCAGGGGGTTCGGGTGAGGCAACTAGCCTGGGGTGAATTTCAATTGTGTGAGTGTAAGGGGCCTGCCCTGGGGGCACTATGTCACAGGATGGGGGTACAGTGGCCACAGCCAATGTGCCCAGTTCTGGGATGGACAATGCCACAGGAATGTCTGGATTGGCAGGCCCTCACCCCCACCTCACCCTCCTTGTGGCCCCGAGACCCTGGTTGTTGCCAAGTTGGAGCCAAACAGGACCGTCCACGGTGGCAGCAGCCCTGGCTGTGAGCCTGAACGGCTGCCGCCACCCCTCCTGAGCATGCAGGGCAGGCCTGCGTGAGGTCACTACTGCAGTGTGTATTTTGAATATTTTCAGCTGTGTGTGCACTGTGGGGACTTGGCCCGTGCACCGCGTGTGCAGCTCATACTTGGTGGGCTGTGTAATGTGCTGGATGCAGCGGAACTGTGGACGGCTTCCAGAACAATCACATGAAACCCACCCTCACCCTCCCTGCCCCCGTCCCAGCCCTCCTAGTCAGGGGCCAGGGCTGCTCCCTCCCAATGAAGTAGCTAACACAGAAGGAGAACAAGGGCCAGGTGCTCTGTCTCAGTTGACCTGTGTCCCCTTTTGTCCCTCTGGTTCTGGAGGACAGAACGGTCTCCACAGGAAGGTACCTCTCTGAGCTGTGTCCTCAGCGACAAAGCAACTCCTCTTCAGTCCTGTGCTAACTGTGCCTGGGGACAGGGAACCTGCTTCGGGTAAAGCTGCAGACACGGTGATGCTGTCTGAGGGGAGGGGATGTCCAAGGACCAGGACAGTAGGACAGGGGTCACAAGGTCTCCTGCTATGACGAGCCGCATTCCTGCAGTTGTCCCAGGGAATAAGAAGGTCTCTTGGGGGCCTGGAAGGCTAATCCAAGGCCAGACCTTGTTCTGTCAGCTCTCTGTGACTTTTCAGTAAGATCTGCTCGCCCATCTGGCCCAGAGCTAAGGCCCACCCAAGACCCCAGAAGCCCCAAGACCAATAGATGCTCAAAAAGGCATTCTCCGGAAGCCAAAGGCATTTCCTGAACCATCTTTGTTTGGCTACTGCAGCCACCTGTGCCCAGGGGACACCGTAGCTGGGCCAGGGTCTGGGCGACCCTGGGAGACAACCAAACACTGAGGGAGGCTCATTCCGTATTCAGCTCAGCCTTGGGGAGAGGAAACCAGGGCTCTCAGGGATACGGGAGGGTGGCAGGGGGGGGGGGCATTCCCCCGTTGCTTAGTGGAGGGGCACTCAGTTGCCACGGTGACCTTGGTCTGCACAGTCAAACACACAGTCCAGCCATTTCTCCTGGCTGGAGGCTCCCCACCCCCACCCCTTCAAGTTCACACTGAGTGTTGAGTCCCTTGGTGACAAAAACATGGAAATGGTTGCCATGGCAGCCATTCTTTGGACTCCTCAGACTGGAGTGCAAAGTTCAGGATGCCCAGGAACAGCTGAAACAAAAATATGGGAAAATCCACCACTTCCCTCTCCCTAGGAAGGATGAGTCAGAGGGTGTTTGATGGTCCCCTGGGCCTCTCTACTCCCTGCCACTTTCTAGCACCTGGGCCCAGCTTGAGCACAGGAGAGGAGCTGGAGGGGTGGAGTGGAGGAGGGTAGAGTGACCCCCAGAGACCTTAAGGGGAGCCAGCAGCATGGGGAAGCAGGTGAGCTGAGGGTGGGTATGTACATAGACAGCTTGTCTCTGAGGGACTTGCCTTGTGACTACCCCAGGCTGCGAGTGGGGGCACCTCAGAGCTACCTGTCTGTTCTCTGGACCCATAAACTGCTCCTCCTTGCTCAGGAGGGATGAAGTCCACTCAGCAGCCAGTGCAGCCTTTAGCCTGACCCCATGGACAGATAGGTCTCTGATCAGTTGGATGGAGGGGACAGGGAACAGTGGGTGGGCTCAGCAGAATGCCAGGAGGGAGGGAAGACAGCCAAGTTGTCCATGAATGGAGGTTAGTGGGGTAGAAGTATCTTCATTTCTCTCAGGCCTGGGGGAAGAAAATGTGTCCTACCAGCAGTTCCCAGGGGGGATCCATGGCACACTGGTGACCTGCAGGATACACCCTAACAAAACAGTTCCTCAGTCAGGTGTGAAACCAGTACACACACACACACACACACACACACACACACACACGGAGTGTTAAAGACCACATCTTTAAGTTGTGTGGTAAGGAAACCTCTTAGCTTTGTTTGGTTCAGATTTCCCAAATTTATTTGAGCAAGGTTCTCCCTCTTTTCTTTAAAAGGGCTTTACCCCTATTGCTTTCTAAAAATGGCTTAATATCCTATAAAAATAACTGCTGACTAAAATTTACAAGGGTGGTGATTCTCAGAGGTGGTCCATGGATCAGCAGAAGCATCACCTGGGAATTTAACCAGGAAAATCTGGAGGCGCCATCCAGGTGTATGGAAACCCGCTGGGCCCAGAAATACGTGCTTTCACAGACTCTGTGATTCCCATGTATGCGCAGGTCTGAGGACATCTGTAAAGGAATTCACTTGTGTGTGTGTGTAGGGGGGGGGGGGAATTGGGGCACGGAATGGTCCGGAGATCTGAGATAGGACCCTGGATGCTGGAAAAGCTGTTTCTCCTTCAGAGAAGGAGAAAGGGACAGGGCAGGCTCCAATTCCTTTTGCATGTGGGCACTGGGATCCCATTCTGATATTCCTGAGTTTGGGTGGAGGTTGTGTGTGGGGAGGTGTCCAGAGCCTTGGTGTTGAGTGTTGGGGGAAATGTCTGGAGCACCTAAGGGCATTTGCCTTGGGTTGAGGTGTGGACAGTTCCTGTGGGAATCAACTGCAAAGAGGGGACTTGTCCCTGAGGTTGGTGCTGGGTGACACCTTCAAAGCCAGGGTGCTGCAGGTGGGACCTGTGGAGCAGTGGCCCTGGTGGGACTCCAGGATGCGCTTCCCAGCTTTGCGTCCTTGTCCTTGTCCTTCTCAGTGACCCACCCCCTGCGTGTGCTTCCTTACAGCCGTCCAGATCCACATCCTGAAGGCGGACAAGGCAGGGGACTGGTGGAAGTTCACGGTGAACATCATCTCTGTATACAAGCAGGGCACGAGCCGCATCCGTCGTGGTGACCAGAGCCTGTGGATTCGCTCGCGGGACATCGCTTGCAAGTGCCCCAAAATCAAGCCCCTCAAGAAGTACCTACTCCTGGGCAACGCGGAGGACTCGCCCGACCAGAGCGGCATCGTGGCGGACAAGAGCAGCTTGGTGATCCAGTGGCGGGACACGTGGGCGCGGCGGCTGCGCAAGTTCCAACAGCGCGAGAAGAAGGGCAAATGCAAGAAGGCCTAGCGGCGCGGCGGCAGCGGCGGCGGGCGGGCCGGGGCCGAGGGCCGGGCGCGGTGGGAGGGCGGGCGGACGGTCCACGGCCCTGCGGGGACTCCGGCCGCGCGCGCTGCCCAGGCGGGAGGGGAGGGGGGAGGGAGGGGGCGGCGGGCGGCCCTCCCCGGCCCCTCCCCCGCCCCTGCGCGCCCCCCGGCCCGGTGCGCGGTGCGAGCAGGCCCTGGAAAAATGAGGACGATACTTAGCTACCTCACGGGGCTCCTTCCAGAGCAGAGACGCGCTTCCCGAGGGGCTGGGCGGGGTGGTCCGTGGAGGGGCTGGGGCAGCCTGCCCTGGGGCCTGAGGGACTGGCTCAGATCTGCGCAGGTGGCGTTGCTGATGGCTCCCAGAAGGGGACTGAAGAGAAAGGACTGAATTCATAGGCCAGCAGCCTCGGGGGAAGGGGCCTGAGCAGGCCCAAACAGGCAAGATAGCAATGCCGCTGCTTTCTTCTCGGCCTTTCTCTGGGAATTGACACAGAGAGCCTGGCCAAGACGACCTGGGCCCACCTGGAGGGGCCTGGCAGGCTTTGGGGGAAGGGGAAGCAGTTCTTGTCTCTACCTGGGGGGGAGGGAGCTTCGCAGATACCTGCTGAGTGGATCCTCCCTGAGTGGGGCTTAGGTAGAGTGGGCGTGGGGCTGACAGTCCACGGAGACCCAGGAGGGAAGGCCCCTTCTGGTAGCTGCCCCTTGCCAGCAGGGGGCTGGGTGTTGGCCCAGACCGTGGAGGGCACTGTGCCCAAGGACACCCCGAGAAGGCCGAGCAGGGTGGTCACCGCCTCACACTGGCTCTGCCTGTCGGAGGAGGCACTGCGAAGGCAAAACCTCCCAGAGCGTTTCCTTTTTGGAAACTTGGAACCAGCACCTTTTATGACATTTTCCAGGGGAGGGGGAAGGGGGCACTGGCTGGGTTTACGGCAGTGACACTATTTGTGTAATGACATCAGCTCCCACAAGGCCCCTCAGCAATGTCAACAGCTGGAAGGACCAAGCTGGGCAGGGAATGTAAGCTGGAAGGGCGGGTGGGAAGGCTGAGGGCAAGGGGCTAGCTCAGTCGGTGCCATGGGTAGGCAGGGCAGGGACAGCCAGCTTCCTGGGGCCAAAGAAGCCGTGACCACTTCCTGCTGCTGCCCTCACTCTTGGCTCCTCAAGGGAAGGGAGAGACGCTGCTGGGCCAAGAAAACCTGCAGCACCCACCCCCCTCCTGGGGCTGACCACATGACTGTAGGTCTTGCCTGGGCTACACCTTGCTGACTCCTTTGCAGAGGCTCCCATACCCCAAGATCACCTTCCTAGAGATACCACCCCCAAGCAGACAGCCCCAGGACTTCTGCCCTGGTGCCTCACACGGGAACCCCATTCCTATGACCTGGGGCCTCCTGGCGTCCCGTCTTCCCAGCTCTGTATACTGCCTGGGGTCCGCGGTCCGCTCCTACACCCGGCTTCCTGAATCAAAGGCCTTGCTCCCCTCACAGTCAGGAAATTGGTTTCAGTTTCCCTGCCTGGTTGCTCAAAGTTGTCAGACCAGGAATGAAGCTTGGCCCCTTGGTGGACTTGCTTCCCTCTGCCCCTGATGCTGCCCATAGAATGATGGCCATTCATTGGGTACCTGCTCTGTGCCAGGCACTTTGTACACGGCATCCCATCTTACCCTCATGACAGCCTGGGAGATGGAGATGTTCCCCTCATTTTCACCCGTGAGGAAACGGCACACATGTCCGAGGTCACATGGCAGGTCAGTGTAGACCTGGGGTCCAGACCCCAGAGCCAGGCTTTCTGTATCTCACCCACTCAGTTCCAAAGCAGTCTGTCAGGGTGCTTCTGGGTGGGCTTCAAGGGTCACTACTAAGACACTGGCCTTGGTTACTCCCCATGTGACCTTGGCTTCTAGTTTGTAGGATAAAAGTCTGGGAGGTTAGGGTGGGAACAGTAACATCTTTAGAGGTGGATGTAGTGGGTGTGGGTGTGGGTGTGGGTGAAGCTGGGTGTAGACTTGCCAGAGGACATCCCAGGCTGAGCGGAGTGGGGTACCAGGAAGGCAGGGCTTGGTGGCTCCCAAGAAGCATCAGAAATGAGGGTTAGTTGGTTGAGGGTGGTTGGAAGGATTCCAACAGATTGGCAAAACTGCCCTCAGGGGAGCTGCCTAGAAGAGGCTAGGCCTCGCTGCACGTGACTGGCTTCCTCTGCTGCCCTTGCTGGTTTGTTGGCTGCTGTTAGCATTTCGGGCCATAGTCCTTGAAAAGATTTCTAGGGCAGTTGTCCCGTTTCTTTGTACTCAGCTCAGTGTCAGCTTGGCCCCACCACCTCCTAACCTGGGTCAGTGCCTCACTCCTGGGGCCAGTGAGGGACTTGTACTTGTGGTCTCCGAGGCCCCTCCTGCTCAGCAGTCACCAGCCCCTCACACACATCATGGTACCTTGCTTAACTTCACCCAGCCTCCAGCCTGGCCCTTCAGTCAGCCCCTGAAAGACAGGCTGTCCACCCCGTGGTCACACCTGGTGGTGTCAGGCGGCCAGACCAGCCAGGTAGGGGATGAGCTCACTACTGGGACTTCACAGTCGTTACAGGATGCTTGCCCACATCTCAGACCCCAGCCAGACCCCAGCCACCGACCCTCAGAGGGGAGGCCCTGTCCCTGGGGAAGCCCTGCCCCTAGGGAGGAGATGGAAATAGGAATTGAGGTGTTCTGGTTTGTACAGTTAGGAAGGGATGTAAAATTGGACTAGATTTTGATTTTGAAGAGTGTATTAACCCGAATTGTGCTATGTAGGTGTTTGAAGAAAAACATACCAGGTTAGTCTTTTTAAAACCACAGATTCCCCAGTTGTCCCTTTTCTTACCTGCTGAGTGGTCTGGTGGTCCTGGCAGCTGAGTGCCTACTTCACTGACACACAGTCACGTGGAGGATCTGGGGTCAAGGGGCTGCCACTGGCCCTTTCCTGCCTGACTTGAGGAAGACAGAGGGGCCAGGACCCTCCAACTGGAGACTTGGAGCTGCTCCTAAGTCCTGAGTGACCTCCTGGAACTCTGCCTCAGTAGTAGCGTACAGACCATGGGTACAGATGCTCTTGGATTTGCTCCAGTTTGGAATGAGATTGAATTGAGAAGAGACCCTAAGGAGTTGGGGAACTATCTCTTTAGGAAACTGGACGAATGTTGGCGGGTCTTGACATCCAAGGGGAGCCCCCGTGAGGCTTAGAGAGTTGACAGACTAGATTCTCCATGGGGGTCGCTAGCTTGCCATGGCTCCTGGACAGGCTATCCCATGAGCCCCAGTCATGCCATACCCCGTGGGTAGCCAAATGTGGATCTATGGGGCTCACCCCTGCCAAAAACAAATCCCACCTGGTGTCACCAGACACCTGCTCCCGTTTGCACTTCTCCCCTCTCTCGGCTCCCTCCTGTGTGTTATGTTTCTGTTCCCTCGGAATTGTTAATGTTTAGTTGTGCCCATGACATGTTGTTCGGGTCAGTGTTCCTTCCCAATGCATACTAATATATTATGGTTATTATATATGAATATATTTAATGACATGGAAAAAGTTGTCAATATTCTTTTTAAGTTTCTTTCTTTTCTCTTTTTTTTTTTTTTTTCTTGGCTAGAGTTGTAATGGACCCAGATGGAATTTGTAACGTGGGCCCCACATGATAGAACTAAATTCAGATATCAGTTCAATAAACTCTTGTACACTGTTGTCTGTCTCCCAGTTTTTCTCTGGGGGCTGGCCTGGGGCCTGGAGGGGGAGGAGAAGGATGATGAGTCTTCAGGCAGCTTAAGGAAACCCAGCAAGACAGAAACCCCAGGTTTGTCGTTCAGTGTCTAAGACAAAGCCATAAAGTCAAGATGAGAGAACTTCATTGGATAAGTCCCTGGGGCGAGCTGAGATCTTAAGCTACAAGTCTCGATTGGGACCATCTGTATTTCAGTTCCACAAGAAGAAACTCTTAGAATCTTACAGGCCTGGAGTTCCAGACAAGGGGAGAAGGCAGGGGGTATTTTAACAAGGGTCTCCCCTACTTGCTCCCCAGACATCAGCAGGGCAGAGAGGACCTTAGAACCTGCAAGCAGCGGTTTTTACCTTTCACATAACCAATTCCTCCTTGTCAAAACCAAATAAAGACGCTGAAGAAAATAGGACAAGGCGAGTGTGTGAAGCAAGAGGTTTTTTTTTTTTTTTAAGCCGTTGCTCAAGGCTTCGTGCAGTGCAGCAACTGGGCAGGCGCCAATGCCACGCTGCCCCCAAGAGCTGAGCTCACTGGGTTTGGAGAGACTATATTTAAACCTCTGTATGGTTGTGATTTCTTTATTAAATAAACAATTCAGTCATTAGGAACATATTGTGTTGCCATGCAAAATGGAGCCGGCCCTCACCAGGAAGCTGTCATTTCTGAACCCAGCTGTTTTGAAGCTGGTAGTTTGGATTCAGCTGGTCCTTGTGCTTCTGTGCGGAGGAGGGTCGATTGGAAATGCCTTGCACTCCTCTCCTAAAGAAACACGTCCGGTCCAGTCTCCTTCAAGGGGTCCAGTTCCAAGAATGGGTGTCTGTGCTCACAGTACCAGGTGTCAAATCTGGAGCTGGCAGATGCATGTGGAGTCTTGGTGTCCCTCCCAGAATGCCCAGAAGCCAGTGGGCGGGCAGAGGGGACACAGGAGGTGGGTCTTTTCTGCAGCCACAAACTTCCCAGGGCCAGCTCATACCCTCTTAGAGCATTTGCATGGTTTCTGACCCCTTGCAAGACAGTTCTGGTAGCACAGTGGATTAGGTACTGGATTACTACTACAAATTCAAACCCACCAGGGAGAAAAATGAGACTTTCTGCTCCCAGAAAGATTTAGTCTCAGAAATCCTAGAGAGCAGGTCTCTATAGGGTCAGAATATTAGTTCTGTATGTGAGTCGGAATGGAGTCCTGGTGTGGCGCTGTAGGAAAAGCACTGGCATGCTAACCCACCACTGTCCTACAGGTTCACTGTGAGTCAGAACCAACTCAACGGCGTTTGGGTTTCCATTGGTCATTTTAC